TGATTATCAATGTGGTTTATAATTACTTTTCCTCGTTCGTCATTCATCATATTAACAGAAGCTTCATGAGCACGTTTGGTTACATCTTTATTCGTTAAAGCTAGATCCTGCATCTAAACACTAAATTTATGTTATGGTAGTCAATTAAGATCAAATCTTATGGAGGAGGGTTCAATTTTTCTGTTACTTTTTCCATTACTATGATTGATAGAAATATTCAAATTGAACTCTAATTATAAGTATAATGATTCAAACAGATAAAAAGTGTGTTTGGTTGCAAATTGCACATATTTCTTATTGTAATAAGCACTGTGTAAACAAGTACTGCGGAAATCACATGCAGAGCATCAAACATGGAAATTCATGACTGAAACCATGTTTTCAGTGTGGTATTGAGTTAGAGGAAAACACAATAATGTGTAAAATGTGACGGTAAAAGATATATAAAATCGAAACGTTATTACTAAAGCTAAATACCTTAGCGCTGTCAGGTAAATCCCCTATAAAGACAGAAAAGGATTATCTGACAAGATTTCAAAATAATGATTTAGACAAATAGAATAATTAAAAATATGGAGCAAAGGGAATTTGTGATACATCCAATATGTACAATTTGCAAGGTGTCTCAAGACGGTATGATTAGCAACTGCTGATTGAAAAAGCATTCTGTTGTCTTAATAATAATGGTCATCGCAAATTCCGTGCTGGGAAAAACGATAATTTATCTCATAGATTTATATACAAGTGTTATTGTTGGGTTGTTAAAGATGGATTTGAATTGAATACATTATTAAGGATATAAACACGATAACTCTTTAAACAACGTACAACTTACTACACAATGTCAGAATTGATAGTTTGGAAAAATTGGCATTAAGAATCATTATAAGAGTGCAAGAGTTTCAGGTCTGTAAATATACAGTCCGGATAAGAAATAATAAAGCTGCCAGATATTTCGGTATCATCCCGGCCTCAGTTAAGCATGTACCTGATCATATACAAATATAAGCATATTCAATAAAAGTAAGATCAATGGATTATATTTAAATACGTCCAATTAATGTGGACTCTTAATTTAAAAACAATATCTTTTTCCTATATATAGTTCGACTCTGTCAATATTGCCAAGGGATTTGTTTAGCCACAACTACAGTTATGAGTCCACCTTCACTATCACTGCTTTCAGTTTCTTGTTCACTTTAGGCAGAATGAAATAACATAATGTTTCTCAATTGCATTACACGATTATCTATCATCTATTTTCTTGTCGCGAGACAATGCAATTCTTATGTTTTTAATTGAATGTGTAAAAGATGTGAATATCTTTACCTGTGTGTTGTTGACCTTTGCCAAGGATTCTAACATAGAATGATAAATGGATTTCACGAATCTTTAATTGGAAGGTAATGTTAATTTATTTCAAATTTTTATGTAACGATATATATCATAATCGTTTGAGGATAAAGATTGTCACATAACTTTATTCCGTCACATTTTAATTTTAAAAGCAGAAAAAATATCAATATATTCACCCTTCATGTCATGACTTTTAAGGTATTTAACTTTTGATTGTAAATGAATTGGACATATAATAAAGCAAGAAAACTCCTGCCGAAAAAATATACATAGAGTAAATTATACGATTATTTCCCCTCATATAATGCGTCATTACCTATGCATTTCTCAACATCCAATCAGTGTTGACAAGAGCACGCTGTATCATATTTGCCGTTAAATACAGCCCAAGCTACTGCAGTGACCACTCCTTCCCAGAGTTCTTTGCAAGATTTACAAAAGCAACCATTGTGGATGTGGTGTGGATAATGTGTGCCTTAAACGCAACTCGTCTTTATTTGCTAATCTTTGTGGTATATTGTGCCATCAGTGCTACCAATTTGAGTTTTCAACAATGAGACAAACAATTATTGACTATTGTACTCAGCAGTTGCATTGGTGACCTCTTCCCAATCCGTCCCTGAAATATTTGTCTAAAGAGAACAACAACGAAAGACTTGATACCAGCTTCAGTCTCCCTTCCAACAGTCACCATATCAATCCTCTTTAAGACACCTTAACATCCACGGACCCCTTGGACACTAGTACTCTGGAATTATGAATAACCAATTTTCCTTAACTTTACCCACTAACAGTCGATGGAGCATTGTGAAAATGCTAATGATAATGAAGGTGGAAGATGAGTGACTGTGGCATTGGCCAAACAAACTCTTTGGCAAAATTGACGAAGTCGAACTATACATTTTATTTATTTATATAAAATAGCATCGTTTTCTTTTTGAGAATGATAATTACGATTTACCCCATCAGAAGTAAAAACTTTTTTGATAGGAGTTAGATTCAAATATGTTTTTGCGTTTAACGATGACTCATTATGAGAGTATATACATATCATTTATACTTAAAATCTCATTTTGCAAATCCAGTATGAGTCCTATTTAGAATTTAATTTTGAAAAAAATTTGTTGATAATAATGGATTAATAATGGTTTATGTACATGTAGATAAACGGTTTCAATTGGTTCTTATACAACTAACCACTCGGGCATATATCTAGGTGTAAATAACCATATAATACATATCCATGCTGGCCTGGCTAGGTTTTGAAAGATCTACTTGATAGCTGCAATCAATTTCATCACATACTAGATTGACTGTGATTATTGATGTTACATTAACAATGGATCATTAGTAGGTTTAAGGAAAAACAGCGGCGGGGCTGTTTCCATGATTCAACTACTCCGCGATAATATTCCTTAATATGATCAGTGATTGATTTTATTCATATCGGTATGGTCAAACCCTGGCGTGATGAATGTTTTTATTTGTTCTTCTGTTATTTTAATTTTTAATGAACAAGTTTTTTTTCCCCTCATATCCCAGTCTGGAATATAATCACTATCTATACCACCCTACGCTCTCTTACAGCTTCTAAAATTGTATCATCAATAAGTCTTAAATATATCACAACAATGTTTAAATGTTTTAAGGTTTGACTTTTCTGTTGTTTTGCGTCTTCGCTTCAATATTGGAACATAAATTTAGTAGTTTATTTAATAATTGTTCGTACTCAAGTTTAATTACGTCTGACCATAATTTAAAAATTTTCTTCATTAATGGTCTAAAGCGTTGACCGTTACGGATCACTGCTATCTCACCTATGTCTGCACCAGTTCGAGTCCAGACTCAGCTAACGTGGGTAAGTGAAAAAAGTTTGCCAGTAGCTACTCGTGGATTGGTGGTTCTTTCCACGTATTTTCCGTTTTCTTTCTCCACCATTAATACTGGCCGACATGTATCGTGTGCTGAAAAATGGGGTTAAGCCGCAGAACAACAACAAACAGTGTCTTCTTCTAATATATAATTTTCTAGCATATAGATCTTGATGATATTCTAATCGATCATCGGGTACCCACGGAAATTTACTTAAATATTTTGAATGTTTTATATATTTGTTTTCACTTGTTTTAAATTCTTTTTGATTTGGTTCTGGAATTGTATTAAAATTCATTGCATCATCAAGCCATCCTAACACGAACCTGACCGATGACTGAAAAATGTCAGCTACATAATCAGGAAATTTATTAAATCGCGGCTGTTAATGTCAGTTCGTAAACAGTAATTTCTAATTTTGGATTCTTTACCTGTAAGACACTTAATTCTACATTGGAACTCATTTTTAATCTCTTATATTTGATAATTGCCCGTTGAAATTCCAACAACATGCCAATCACGAGTTCCATTGGTTTTATTATTATTTCAAAACACATGTGAATTGTTTGCTGGTATTCCACCAAACGATTTTTATATAATATCTGGCCAGCTATGGTAAACCCATAATTGTTCTATCACTTTTACACTTGCTGGAATTGCAGATGTAAAATTAACGCTAAATTCTGGACTGTTAAAACTCAGTGATATGATTGTAGTTTTTGTATGAGTAGTATTAGTGACGATCTGTTGTAATAGTTTGCAAAAGCCTTGATACGACATTATTTTTTTCTGTTATTGCTATAAATAAACTCTGCGTTGTCTATGAAACTTTTTGATCATTTTTTCCCCTAGAACACTCTGCGTTACGTGCCGGTTGTCGGAATCGCTAGCGATTTTAAATGTTTCATTTAAAATTTTCAGTATCGTTATGAACTTCTCATCAGATATTTTTTATCATCACTGCGACACGACGAAAAATACGATGCTAGCTTAGCGCATGCAGACACTGACGTGTGAATTTTTTGTATATACTTATGTAATTTTACGTTTGTGCATGTAGGTTATCTACGACATTACTGATGATATCTACGCATGTTGTTTCCGTTAAAATGACAATTGTTACATTTGCAAGTGCTGTTATTGTTATAGTTGATAGTAATACACCTGTGGACGTGATGATAACAGAAATTGAATAAACAATTATTTTAATGATAACCACACGCCTGCGATATTGTTTTGCCTTTACTGTGTAATTGTCGACAATATTTATTAGCTTGATCAGAAACTCACATACTTGATTGTATCTGTAACGACCAAGTCGATAAGTATCTCCTTCACTATGGATTGATTCATTACAATTAAGATGTTTAATTAAGTTGTTAATTGGGTTGTTTCAGCTACAAATTCCAGACACCACCAATAATATGCTGCGCTTATTTTTAATAAGTTGCTTTCAGTATAAATGTTTCTTCGACATATTTTTTTTAACACCACAGATACAGTTCCAGACAAATATCGCTTGAATGCCGCCATAGATGTGATTATGATTTTCAACGTAGCTTTAACAATTTTTCAGTGATATCGCTACGATGTCTGCAGTGTGGCAGTTTTTATTGATGTCTAGCATTGTGGCATCATGCCACACACATGTAGCATGGTGTCCCACCCAGTCACATTATCCTGACACCAGGCCGACCAGTCCTAACACTAACCTCTTAATGCTGAGCGTCAATCGAGGCAGCTGTTAGTACCATTTTTGTAAGTTTTTGGTATGACTCGAGCGGGGATCGAACCCATGACCTCCTGCATCATAGGCGGGTGCTCTAACCACTAGGTCGCCGGAGCGGTTTTAAATGTCGACATAGATATGAGGTAAATATGCCAAATTTTACACCGCAAAATTCGGGTATCATATATACGCCAGTGACTTCCGCGGTATGTTTGATGGTTTTTTTTCCGGCGTAGATGTTGCTGATCTTTATGTTACTGTATAAACCACAATAATGATCTGCTTGTGAGGTATTTTGATCAGATTCGTTTTTAAAATATATTAGGCATTCCAATGACAATAGTCTTGATTTTTGTGTTAATATCAGAAAGCATAATATTTACAACCGCTGAACTTCCCAAATGTTAATACACCTGTTTGTATTTATAAGAGAATTTAGAAATGTCTGCACGTGAATAATATAATCTATCTGCGTACATTTCATCGGTAATTGTTGTTAATCATGTCTCTTAATCGCTAGCGACCTTGATATTCCAATCATTGACGTAATTTGTCATTGCAGCATCGAAATATTATCCTTGGGTTCTGGTATTATTATTACCATTACTATTCACGTTGCGAAAATCACACATAATACCATTGTTGACTAACACAAACTTAGATTCTTGATTTCCGACGTATTTTCCGTTGCTAAGTCTGTATATGAGGATCGGTCTCCATGGTATGTCAATTTATTTTTGTTCATGATAAGGGTACGAGTGAATTAATCATAAGATCGCTTGATAAAATTGTTAATTGATTTACTGGAATTTTGTATTTTACCATGATCTGCAAAATTAAAGATATTATTAGCATCTGCGATGGGAATTCGTATAAGTATATCTGAAAGTTGTATATTACTTGTCTCTTATCGTCATTGTTTATGTTGTAAAACAACGACTTCGTTTTTATCCACACTTGTAATGTGTAATAAATCACTGAATTCATTTCTGAGGTAGGATCAAGAATTGCATATTTAGATAAATCAACTTGCTGAGCTTTACTGCGAGAATATTTTCCGTAAATATCTACCATTATATTTACCAAAATCTAGTTAAAGGTCTGCAGAACGCGATGCATTCTGGCTATGCCTGGTGATGGTATATTTGAGTACGACATAAGGAGGTGGTTTTCCTGGCTTTGCCAGTGATATTACGTCGAGTACAGCGATGATTTAATGGCCAGATACTTGTGGATCTGTTGATATTTGTGTTGATAATGTTAAATGCAAGATTGGAACATCACAGGCAAAATAATTATATTTTAAAAATTCGTTTGGAGGTGCCAACCCATTTAAATTGAAATAAATAATTATACGTGGATCTATTGCATATGCAACAAAGTCAGTATCTAAAACAGATATTATCTAGATTAATAATAGCAGTTTCAATATTGTTTGGTTATTTTGGTAACTCATCACGCATAAAAGGTCATCTGAAATTTATTATTTTTAATTTTTCAACGGCATTAAGTAAATCAAAATTAGACATAGGAAGAATCATCGAACTGTCTCTGGCAGTCTTAGACCTTTTCAATACCACAACTGCGTCGTCCCTGGCAATCTTGGTACGCGATCGTATACTGGGCCTGACAATCTTAGGAAGCACGCTGTGGCACGTTTCTTGCTTTTAGGCATCCGTGTTTTTTTCCGTGATCTTTTTCTTACATTTTCTGCGTGTACAATTACTTAGCCTGTTGCTTTCTTTGATGCCATTTCATCGGCAGTTACAACATAGCCTAATGCAGCTGTTTTGCAACAGCTGGAGCTGCAACGGCTAATAATGCTGGTATAGTTGCAACAAAGGGAAATATACCACCTGTTTTAGCGGTGTCTTTAGTGACACTCACAGAAAGATTAACTCTTATACCAGTCTTTGATTGGCTTCATTGAAGTGTTTAAACTGGCGTTCTGATAATGATAGCTTATTCGGACCACCTGCGATTTGTTCTTGCTTTAGTAATATTTTTACCGCACAATTATGTTTAGATGATGATTGGAACTTATTAATCTGACCAGATGTCAAACTGACATTAATATGTTGATATGACATTTATAAGTATCATCCTGATTTTAAATCAAGGATTTATTTACATATATTTTACTATTGCAACAACGACTTGCATTCGTCCACCAACACCTTCAAGTAACATTGATTTATCGGTTATTATGACATCAATCTCTCTATAATTAGCAATAAATCCTATGTTTACGCGATATGTAGGTCAACTACAGACTGCGTGATTCAATTTAAATGTTCCAGAGAAAAGTAATAAATCAGATAAAGCGTTGTAAAATCTGACTATAATATTTGTAAACCAGAATCAACGGTTTGATCACGCCCCATAAATTTCAATAATGGATGATATGCACGTTAAAAATATTGTTCAAAATGTAATAATATATCCTCCGATGGTTCTTGACGACCATATCTTCTCAATGAAACCTCAAAACAGTCAGTTTATAATAGATCATTATGCTACGATTTTGTGAATTTACTCGTGCAGCATCTTGTAATGCAATACATATATGTCTTGATGCTGAAACACCTTGCTAAGAAGCTCTATGCCAAGTAAATAAACCATTAGCACCGCTCTGCACATTTTAACCATGACAGCGCTGATTAACCGATTTTATCCGCAATAGAGAGTAAATGTTCTTCTTCAAGTAATGTTGGAGTCGTTACGGGTATCCACAATGACTTTTGTTAAAACTTCTTTTCCAACATGTTGCTCTGGTATATCACACCATATTACATCAACATATGTAGCCTATCGTACGGTATACTTGGCTCTGAAGATATCTCTTCTAACATTTCTACAAAATCCAAGTATATATGATAGTGGAATCGCACATGAAACAATTCTGTTATTACCTTGTAACATTGTTTAATGCATCGCATATCCTAAGTTGAATCATGAATTGACTCTTGGTAACCTTAAAAATGGTACAGTGTTTCTGTCATTCCTACTGGTTGTGGATCAGATGCACTGACTAATGTCAATTGTATTAATAAATGTTGCATGTTATCTGGATGATCAGCTACATCCTTGGTAAACATCAATGACGGACCAAATAATCTTCAAATATCATCGCTGTATCTTGCTAAACTTAACATTGTTGTAGCAACATCAACTTCTTTCTGAATTGTTTCAATATTTTTTCCATCAATCATATACGTAGCGTTGTCAAATAAAGCCATTATACAATTAACAAAACCAATCATATAATTTTTATCCATTGCAGCATTATTATCTACTCTTAAACTTTGTCCTTCAATCTCTAAATATGGTTCAGAGGGTAAGAAATATCAACTTCTATATTGAACCTGTAGTTCAATTCCTCCACGCTTGTCTGGAATTCGTGCGTCAACAAAAAACTGAAAATCCCGTTATTACGCATATCATTGTTTAAAGTATCACAAAGCAAAGAGTGACTACATCATACGTTGTAAAGTTTAACAAAACTAATTTATTTCCTTAGAAAACACAGTCAAAAGGAAAAATATGAAACAAAATTTACGATTTGCGAAGGAGATCCAAACATTTGTCCTAAAATTGTGAAAAATTCACAAGTCATATGAATAAATAGTTCTACATTGACGTAGTCGGAATCTTAATTCGTTCCAAGATGGCGGACGATGACATCAGACGAAGGCTAATACAAATATCCAGAATTTCTATTTCAATTTAGAAATAACTTCAACAAATATCTTTGTCCATGTCCAAAGCCAGTAGTGTTGTTCTCCAAGGATAGTTAGAAAGTAGATGAAATACAGCTACTGCTACTAATAACGCATATGTTGTTCCACTCGTACGAAAGAACGGCTCTTTCCAGCACAAAAATATATTTTAAGGCATTAAGAGTCTGTAATATGTTAGTGACTCTCAACTATGACTACGACTAACTACAAGTAAACATTTCTAACAGAAAAATGAGCATTTAAAACAAGCTTATACGTTATTTTATGTACACATACACGAAAGACACGTGAGATTTTTAAATCCGATCTGGGCATTACTAAAACATAAGCAAGAAATGACGTGGTCACAGCCAGTCATGTACATAGCTATTTCTGACTGTTTACTTAAAACAACAAACCATCATGCAAAATTGTGCGTTACGCGAGTCACATTTACTTCCTAAAAAACCACGATGTTTATAACAAAATATCTGACCATGCCAACATAATCATCATATTATTAATAATTATAATTAATGATATAAAAATAAAATTAAATAGAAAGTATTAAAAGAGCACTGGTGCGTCTATGTCGAATGATGATGGATCAGATATACGTTTTAACATCTTTATTAAAATTGCTATCGTCTAACACGAAGACCGCTTGCTGCTATAAGACTAGCGGTTATATTTGTTTCTTTTCCTGACATTGGTGCACCACCTAACTCTGCTAGGTTTTGATTAGCAGTTTGATTTATTATTTTACTAACATTTGCGGGGATCACTTCAGTGCTGGCCAGTTTCACTGATGGCTGAGGTTTTCGGCTGATTTGCAAGTAGTATTACTTTTGGGACTATCCTTTAAAGTAGACCCTGAACAGCAAAACCTTATTTATCTCTGTAGATAGTTTTGTATTCTGGCAATCGTGAATTTATTTCCCTGACCATGCTCGGTCTGAGTTGAGTATTATGTATTATTATAGTCACTGCATCTAATTATATACTCAATCACTGTGATAATCATCGGCGATTTCATTTATGAGCGACCGATATACGTCGATATGTATAACTCCACCTGTAAATAATCGTTGACTAATATCAGCTGCTTGATTCATGATTTCTGGGGAATTATTACCAAATCATTTTTCTCAGATGAGAATTTCTAGTCTTTCAACATCGGCAAGAACGTAATTGGGACAATAAGATCCCTTCCTCAAGTAGTGTGATCATTTGCAGTTGCACCTGGGTGATCTTAGTATTCTTCCTCACTTGTTATTATTATAATGGCTATCGTCTAACACGAAAACCGCTTCCTGTTATAAGACGCGGTTATATTTGTTTCATCTGTGGGTGTAACTTCAGTGTTGACCAGTTTCACTGATGGCTGAGGCTTTTGT